ACTGATCCCTCATCAAACTATCGCTATACAAAATATTTACACAAAATATTTACGACAGTAGTTTTGAGCCAATTACATCAACTATAAAAAAGAGAAAAACTTAAGATTCATGATATGAAAGAAACGATGCAGATTATTTCATTTTATTATATGACAAGCGCCACTTCTTCAAAATGGCGCGCTTTTATTGAATCCGGTGCATTATTCTCCAGTAATCGACCACGATCCAAAATGCATAACTTTACACTCAAGTATAAACAAACATCGTAAAGCAAACAGCAAAACGCAAGAAAAAACATAAAGAAGAAAAATTTATAAGCTTTTGCTGCCCATGCAACTGCTCTCATCTGTTCATTTTCTCAAACTAAGAAAACAATTAGGCTAAATGATTACCATTGATATGTATATAATGGGGCATTACGTATCCAAGTATAAATTGAGAGCAGAACGTAAATGTCATCGCTACCTATTCGTAAAACAAAGACACAAAATTACTCTTTTTTGTTTTTATCCTTTTACATTTTTTATTACGCATTGACTATTGAAACAATCAGGAGAAAATCAGGTTTTATAAGAAGAATTTTAAAATTGTACTATAATATAGTTAAGTGATTTTAATCTCTATTCACTCATTTATATCCTGGTAATTTTATAAACGTTGTCAGTCATTTTCTCATATAATAACAGAAAATGAATTTCTTTCTACGATGCTTTAACAAATGATCACATAAAAATTTTTTTGTAGCTAATTAAATGAATCTTGTTGGCCATGCGGACACATGAACATTTTAATTTGGATAAGAGATTGCAATTTAACAGTTAAAAGCTAAATCACAAGTTTCGACATTATCAGAATGCCATCTTCAGTGCAGAATGTTTAGTGTTAATAATATGATACGTAATATGATATGAATATGAATAAGTTAATTACAATGAATAGAATTAAGTTTAGTGTTAAGTAATATGATACGTAATATCATATGATATGAATAAATTAATTACAATGAATAGGATTATGATTTAGTGACAAAATTATAAAATATTTACAAAAAGGAAAAGAAAAATAAGCATTAAGAACTTATAACAAAAAATATTATTATAAAGTAAATATAGTGTTGTAGTGGTGAACTTGGATATTTAAATCGGGATTAGTTTTATTAATGTGTAGAGCTTCCTTGATTTTGAGTGAGAAAGTGGATTGATCAGTGTCGATGATTTTGAAACAGGAAGGTGAGAATTTGTTTTTACATGAAGGAGAGGCTTGAAGATGTTTGTAGATAGTGGAGTTTTTGTCTGTGTGAGTATGTTCCTTTATCCTGGTAGATAATTGGCGAGAAGTTTCACCAATATAACGGGAATTACATCCCGCACATGAAAATTGATAAACTACCATAGATTTGGAAAGTTCGGGAAGTGGGTCTTTAAACGAAAATAAAGATTTTATTTTAAAAGGAGTGAAAACAAGTTTAACGTCAATGTCAGTGCAGTAGCGTTTAATGATTTGTGTGAGTTTGCGTTGTGTGTGTCGTGAGTAATCACCTATGTAAGGTAGTTTGAAATAACGTTTAATGTCAGGTTGTTGTATATCGTTAGTGTTAGTTGTGGAGTTAGATGAGTCAGTGCTTTTCTTGTTTTCCAAATAGTGTTGTATAGTGTTGTTGATGAAATGAAAAGGAAAAGAATTACGTTGGATAGTGAATATTAGTTTCTTTAAATCATGTTGAAGGCCGATGTCTGTGTTGTTGAGTTTCCGTGCTCTGTCGGTCAGTGTTCGTATCAGTCCAATTTTGTAATTTAATGGTGTGAAACTAAAAAAGTTAGTCAGTAGTCCTGTATATGTTGGTTTGTGGTACGTAGAGGTCATACAGTTTTCATGTGATTTAGTTAGTAAGATGTCAAGAAAAGGTAACTGATTGTCTTGTTCGGTTTCGTATGTAAAGTTTATGCTTTGATGTTGTTTGTTGATGTATTCGTAAAAGAGTAATGCTTCGTCTTTGTTATGAAAAATACAAAAAATGTCGTCAACGTATCTGCGGTAAAATAAAGGTTTGTTGTTGCTGTAGTTATTTAACCAGTTTCGTTCGTGAAAACCCATGAAAATGTTGGCTAGAATGGGTGCCAAGGGTGAGCCCATACTTACCCCGTCAATTTGGTCGTAGTACTTACCGTTAAATAAAAAATGAGTCTCGGCCGTAGTGATGTTAAACAATTGTTTTAGTTCTGTTCTGTTCATTTTGAATGTAGGGTTGTTGGTAAAAATTAAATCAATAGCAATGTCTATGGTTTCGGTCAGTGGTATGTTGGTAAAAAGGCTTTCAACGTCAAACGAAATAAAGAATTTGTCATGTGGAGCGTTAGTGTTAAAAGATAAAAAATCATCGACAAAACTAAAAGAATCTTTAGCAGAATGGTCATTAGGTATTAGGGGTTGGAGTAAAGAGCTGAGGTATTTGGCTAATTTGTAGTTATACGAATTGATTGAAGAAATTATAGGTCTGATAGGAGGTATGTCATTGATATTGTTTAATTTATGAAGTTTAGGTAAACCATATAATCGAGCTGGCTGTGAACCTCTAGGGTACATTTCTTGAAATGATTTTTCGTTAATAGAGTTCTTTTTCTTTAAGTTACGTAGCAGTCGTTGTAACTTAGCTTCACGGGAAATTGTAGGATCATGATCGAGTGGTTTGAACTTAGATAAATTGTTAATGATAGTGAGGCAAGAGTTAAAGTATACCTGACGATCCATAATGAGTACACCATTGCCTTTGTCAGGTTTAAGAACAATGATTTTGTCATTATTACGAATGTTCCTTAGAATTTTATGTTTCTTCAGGTCTTTAGGAGTTGGATGGTAGGAAGTTATGTACGTGTGTGCCAAGTGACCAAGTTCCGTTTTTAGTATTGAATAGTCCTCTTGTTTGATAAGTTATTTCTTAATGAATAGTGGAATCGTTCGAATGTTGCCAGAATGTCGGAGGAGTGGATTTTTTATAAAAAACGGTCTCAACTTCAGCATCAAACCTCCAAAAATCTATTCATTAAGAATTCATAAATCTATTCAACACTATTTGGAAAACAAGAAAAGCACTGACTCATCTAACTCCACAACTAACACTAACGATATACAACAACCTGACATTAAACGTTATTTCAAACTACCTTACATAGGTGATTACTCACGACACACACAACGCAAACTCACACAAATCATTAAACGCTACTGCACTGACATTGACGTTAAACTTATTTTCACTCCTTTTAAAATAAAATCTTTATTTTCGTTTAAAGACCCACTTCCCGAACTTTCCAAATCTATGGTAGTTTATCAATTTTCATGTGCGGGATGTAATTCCCGTTATATTGGTGAAACTTCTCGCCAATTATCTACCAGGATAAAGGAACATACTCACACAGACAAAAACTCCACTATCTACAAACATCTTCAAGCCTCTCCTTCATGTAAAAAAACAAATTCTCACCTTCCTGTTTCAAAATCATCGACACTGATCAATCCACTTTCTCACTCAAAATCAAGGAAGCTCTACACATTAATAAAACTAATCCCGATTTAAATATCCAAGTTCACCACTACAACACTATATTTACTTTATAATAATATTTTTTGTTATAAGTTCTTAATGCTTATTTTTCTTTTCCTTTTTGTAAATATTTTATAATTTTGTCACTAAATCATAATCCTATTCATTGTAATTAATTTATTCATATCATATCATATTACGTATCATATTACTTAACACTAAACTTAATTCTATTCATTGTAATTAATTTATTCATATTCATGTCATATTACGTATCATATTATTAACACTAAACATTCTGCACTGAAGATGGCATTCTGATAATGTCGAAACATGTTTGCTCTCAAAAAAATCGTCGTTTTTCTCAAGTGTTTTTTAAAATTGCTGCTAATTAGAAATTATGGTAAATCACAAGTGTTGTGATCTTTTTAAAATATTTATTGCCATTCCTTGCTCTACACAGCTCTATATAACAACTAGCTATAAGTCTAAAATTGCAAAATCTACAGATATTTATATTCTTTTTTAAATTCAATTATTCATAATATTTTTCTGTATGTAATCTAATGTGTCCCAATTGGGTTTACTTGAAGAGCTAATTATAATAAATAGTTGTATCATACTTGAATTGTCTCTTACGACAATTAACCAGGGTTACCCACAAAATTTTGCTCTCATGTAAAGGTTTTTTTGGATGTCGTATAAAAGTCGAATATTGCATATATTTATATGTATAATTTATTCACTAATATAACTATGAAAACTTTTGATATATAAAAAAGAAGCAAGTTTATAGATTTTTCTTTGATTAGAATCAACCATGTAAAGCAAAAAGCACTTCATTTTCTATTTGAAGATTATTTTAATTTTTGTTGTCTTTTTGATATCAAGCTGTACATTTAAATTATAAACTTTTTTTGACTTCCAGACAATAAAGTTTTTAATTAAATTTTTTAGATTTTCTATTGATATTAGTAACAAATAAACTCTTCAAAGCAACCTTTTGTATTTTTTTTTGACGTATAAAATTGAAGATTGAACGATTTATTTAAGTCCTTACTGAAAACGGACTACTAGATTAAACAAAAATTTCGCAAGAAATTTATTATTACTTATAGTTATCTCACCAAACAACAACATAATTGAGGCACAAGGATTGGCAGGCCGTTTTAAACCTATTTTCATACTTAAGTTCTATAAAATTTTGAGAAATGAGCAATAATACTAAAACGAGATGAAACGAAAAAATGGCGACTAACCTCTCACAAAAACAAAACAAAAGCGTTCACATTAAGATAATTAACAAAAATATTACTTGTGCAATTGTTACAAAATATGTATATTTGCACATACTCTTTATTCGTTCTCTCATATGCATATGTGTAAATCAGTAAGCCAAATAACCACATATTTGCAATTATGTAGATTTTTGCCTCATTTTCATCATTCGACACCACGAACTGTAACAAAGATGACAAACTTTAATTTTGGTTTTTCCCTCCTACTTGTAGTTATCTATGGATCTATACAAATGTAAGTTTCGTGTGCTCGTGTTTGTTTGATTCATGTTTTTCGTCAGATTTTATGTTGATTGAATATAATAAGTTTTTGCTTGTGTTTTTAACTCTTTTAGCTGTTCATTTAATCCCATCTTGACACTTGACATCCACCTTTCTCATATATATTATATTCCTCGCAAAATCTATGCATTTTTTACACGGCATTTCTCTTTTTTTTCTAGAAAGACACTATCATCTTTGGTAACTGTCTCCACTAAAATCGTCTTTTCTTATCATTACATAGATTGGCGTAACCAGCCCGTAAGTTTTGGTCCTGCTATGTAAATTGTAGATCATTAACAATATTCATTTCTTTAGAAATCTGTTGTTTTTACAGTAAGTGATTACAGAAAAATTAACACAGCAGGAACACATTTGCAGGCTGACTACGTCATTGATTACATGTGCAAACATTGCTGCACATCCTTTTTCAATTTTCAACCAGTCCTTTTGAATTTTGCTTCGATTTGCACGTTCTGATTACTGTTTCTGTCTTTCTAGTGACTCCAAGTGCTCACTTGACTATTCTCAACTAGGCTACTTCCAGTCGACCCTTTTTTTAACTGCTACTGTTATAGTTTCCACACCATAGATTATCGCCGATCTGACAACACTCTTTTAAATCTCTTCCTTTAATTTAGCCGATAGTTTCTTATTTCACAGCACACACTTAGAACAGCTTCACACAGCTATAGGTCCATTCTCTAAAAAAATTTTACGATAAACGGTCTTTCAACATTTCTCCTCACAGTTCCATAGCTCCCCAAGATCTCAAGATCTCATTTCTTCTGTTTATTTTCCAACACGCCATTACAAATCAGCTTACATCACAATTCTTTCCACGTTAAGTATCTTTTTATATGTATCATCTAGGACCTCCAGTAAATGATTTTTGTACCAATGCTTGTTGTTCTTTTTTTAGCATTATTGTGCCACAATTTTTTAAGCTTTATCCTAAGTATCTTGTTTTTGCTTCTCTAAATCTTGTTTCCTTCAAACAAGAAACCTTAATCTGACTTTTCTCCATCATATATATCACTTCTCTTTTTTCTCCAACATATTACCTATTATGTGTTCACTCCGAAGATTTCACTTCTCTTTTCAACTTTCTGTCTGTTTTATTTCCTTTTGCATTTTACTTTATCTTCTTCTCGTAGTTTTTAAATTAGCATGTCCACCAGCATTTTTATGTTGAAGGCAATGATAACGGACATTGTTATCTCGCGATCCTATTGGGTCAGGAAGTTTGACTTTTTGTAGCTACGAAAGATGCTTTTTCTGTCGCAATTCCTTTAAATTGCGTTCAATGACACTCAGATTGTTATAATTACTTATCCACCAGGCATTTGGTGTTGCTTATATGACATAAACTCCAAGACAGTCATTCAAGAGTCATTTGCGACAGAAAAAATTGTATTCAAACTTAAATAATTAAAGATATCTATTCAAGTTTAATTAGCTGTTTGAAAAATGATATTTTTATCACCAGGAGTCATTCTTGGTGCTGTGATAAAATCAAAAGATTGGTTGATTCAAAAATGGATGCTTATCAAGTACTGGGTAAGAAAAATACGTCACTTCCTCCTAATTGCGGTGATGACATCAAAACAGAAGTTAAATCATATGAAAGGTCGTATGCATCATTATGCTTAAACAGAACTGACGGTACGTAGACAGAAAAATATTTCTACTTTTTTATGCTTGTAATTAATATAAAAATAGGTTGTGCTTCAATATTTAACATTTGATTGATTACATCTTGTCTCAAGATAGCTTGTGCTTCACATAAAATACAGTTGTATTCATTTAAGTGCATATAAACCTTACAGGATTTTAGTATTGTTTAAAAGAACAACTAGTGAAATTAAGAAATTCAAAAAAAATAAATTGATTTACATTAAACCTATTGATTTTAATTTTCCCAAGGAAATTGCTGTTAAAAATCCAAATTTACCATATACATTTTTCACTAAGGAAACTGGTATCTAGTTCATCTCGTGACGTCATGTAAGGAGCACTGCTCGCACGGCTCTATTTAATTCAAGACAAACTATCTGCTGTAAATATTCCATAGCGTCCTTTTTTGAAAAATTGGATTTATTTAGGTTCGGCATTTTTATCGTTAGATTCATAAGAAGATGAAATTTTTGACGTAGACTTCGACAGTAGTTGTCAGCAGCAACGCTAGGCTCCAATGAAAAAAGCACATGCGGCATAACATTTACTTTTTTATCGGGAGGTAAGACAGGATGTTTCTAAGACGGGTTTTATACATACCACGTTTATACAAGTTTTTACAACGAGACAAAAAGTAATTGAGAATAAGAAAACATCATACCATGCCTCCTCAGCCTTGATTTGCCAAAGCCCTTGTCGTTAGCGGCATCTGTTCTTTGTCCTTTGAGCTTTGTAAAAAATTCCAACAATACAAATCTCGGTTTCAGGATGGCATATTTGTTGCTTTGTATTTGACTCGAACAAGAAATTACAGTTGTTCGATCTGAACTTTGACTTCCATCTATCGTTTTGTTTGCCATGCTGTTGTGGTTTTGATTAAAATGTGGCTACAATTATTTGAAAGGTTTTGTGTCTGGATATTGAAAAATTTGACTCTCGACATTTCTAACCCGTGTTACTTACATGACGTCAGCTGGACGCGCAGGCCCAGTCCCAAAGAGGTAAAATTGAGCGCTTAAAATGGTATAATTTTGCAAATTTGACGGAGTTTACAGCGCCAAACTATTTGTCTGATTACAGAAAAGAATTTGGAATATGGCCTTATAAAGAACACGTAAGGTTTATATGCAATTTAAATGATTCAATTCAATAGTTGTATTGTAACATAGTTGAGTTCCGTCAATTCAATGCAAGATTTACAAATCTTGGAGCCACTGGTCGCCATGGTCCAACATCAATTGGTCAATTTTACAATGGTCAGGATCACGAAAATATGGTAACCGTATCAAAAGGTATCCAGTATTGGACAGTGCCTTACACTGAAACTTATAAAATTACTGCTGTCTGTGCAATAGGGGGTCATGATAATTATGGCTCTGCTTATAGAGGTAAAGTTTTTAAAGTTTGCTATTATTAAAGTTTCCTATCACTTAATTGGAAACTCAATTTTTAAGACATTATTATTACACTAGAAGTTACTATCGCAAGGGAAAGTGCTGCTCGGGCTCCCCTTTTCACCCATGGGACGAGTGCTTAGAAGAAATGAAGTCAAGCGCACGGAAAGCCGACGGCAAGCTCGAGCGAGCATAAGTATATTCGCTTCCCATGTTTTAATTGCGACGATTATAGAAATATCCTCGAAAAATTTAACATTAAATTCATTGCTATTATGAATGAAAACCATTTTTATTAGATTATACTATATCTTCATTTGTCGTCCTAAGGCTTTGTAAAGAGTAACATTGTCGTTCACAAATAAATGGAGCAAAGTTTACTCCGTATAAAAAAAAAGTAAACCATGCTTACAAGATAATATACAACTGACTGAATCTCTAATTTTGGGCCAACAGGCCGTGTAGTTTTGTTAGTATTTTCTTGTTATGGTAGGACTATAATGCTCATTGTTGTATACTTAATTTGTGAACGGAGAGGCTTCATACGGGGCAAGTTTTTTTTGACCATCCCATTACACGTACGTACATAATTTAAAACAAAAATCATTTGATATGCTGAAACAATTATACTAATCGAAACATTGACTCTAAGACTATAAGGTCACTATTGAGAGTTTTTAAATATTTATTGTCTACTTGTAATAGCACATTAGCTAAATGTGCTAATCAAACTTTCGTATGTGATTGTTTTTTATAATGTATAAAAAAAATGTGACTGAACATAAACTATTACAGTGTTCGTATGAAAAATATTCAAGTACTTAAATTTATATTAGGAGAAAGCAAATAAGAATATGATTTGTTTTACATAAGCCAGAATATTTTGTCCGTTATTTGGGACCAAAGAAACCCTTCATTTTGCGCAGGCGTCAATGATAATGACAGTTGAATACTTTACGACACAAATTGTTACGTGTTGTAACAATTTATTACAAAAAAATTTGAACTTATCATTCGGGAAATCTAATATCGTGTTTTCATCAGTTGCCAATTTGGTTTGAAAGTTGCAAATAGTGAAATAAAATTTATGCTAATTTCATGTCCTGTTAAGCATCGGCACTTTAATGTTCTCCCTAAACTTGGGCGCTATGACGTCACATGCAAATACTCCATAGAATTAACAAACTTAGATTGTGTTACCAAATTCGTTAAATTTTGCTAAAATGTCAAAATATACTCAAAATGTTCCCAAAACTTTAAAAAGTTGCGCACAATAAATTTTCTATTGTATTCTTAGTAATATAAACAACTATGAAAATTTCTTTAAAAATACGCGGGCTGATTGGTCGAATGCTTGAAAAAAGTGTTTCGAAGGATTGTTGCACATGATGTCAAAGCCGTCATAACGGGGTATTGAAGTAAATACATGCAACGCTACCTAAAATAATTCAAGCCGTGATTTTACCCAGGACACGCGTGTGCAATATTTTAAGATTCTCACGGAGTGAAAATTGATTGATTGAACAAGCAACTAGAAGAGAAAATCAACAATAAAATCTAAAAAGACAATTTTTTGTTTGTTGTTGCATGTTTGTGTTGACATTTGATCAATTTGACAAACAAATTCAGTTGCTTCCTTCTTTGCACTTATAATAACGTTCGTAATAATGTTGTTGTTTAGGCTCTATTGAAATAAACAAGATGAGTATTTTTAAATTCTCATTAAATGTAAATAGATTATTAATCTGTTGAATTTCTTTTGTTTACATTTAATTTCTTTTTGAAGCTACATATATTTATTAAATAGAAGTTTGGCAGCCCATGAAAAGAAAAATACATTGATGATAACTGTTCTTATATATAAACACCCCCAAAACAACTTCTCTGTTCTTGATAAAAAAAAGTGCAAGGAATAGTTTACCGTCATTTTCAACAACTTTTTGGCTATCAATGCTCTTAATGCTCATAAAGAACACATTGATTGACTCTTGCCTAAATTCAACTATTTAACGAAATCTTGTCAATTCTATCGGAGTGTGTTGAGTCAAGTGAAATAAAAAAGGAAGCAATAGATCTTACCTGTCAATATGACCAAAAACATCTTTTCTTTGTTTTTTTTTGAAATAAACGCCAACTTCTTGTTGATTTTCTCTTCGAAAAAAGCAGCACTTCAATGTTAATCGTGTAATGGTCACCATGATTTTCAACCTGTGATTCTGAGGTAAAATCACGTCTTCAAATAACTATTATGGTTTTGTATAACAGGCAGCGTTCCATGTATTTTAGTTCACTGTGTTAGGGAGAGAACATCAAAGTGCCAATGCTTAAAATAACATAAAATCAACATAAGTTCTTTTCATTGTAAGCGATTTTCCCACAACATGGCGACTGATGAAAACACTCTATAGCTTTATAATGCATGGAAACTTCTCTAAAAAAACTAGCAGACTGCATGGTTTGCGCAGGAAATTTGAATCGTGAAAACATAAACAAAACGTCATTTAAATGATGAATTTGATGATGAATTTATCTTTTCAATATATTTTTGAAAAGCCTATTGTGTAAAGAAAATACAAACAAAGATTATATATTTTCATTCCAATATTTTTTTCCTGTGAAACAAAGTACCTGTATTTTCGTTTCAGAAGCTTGTGCTTTTATACGATGCCATGCAGTTTCAATTAATAGAATTATTTCTTACACAAAAGCAATAATTTTGATTTGTTTAACCTTTTAATTGGATAATCTATCGTTTTTAGGTCGTGGAGCTTACATGAAAGGAGACTTTGAAATAAAGAAAGGAGAAAATATTAAAATTCTGGTTGGGCAAACGGCACTCGTCAATACCCGTACCAAAACATCAGGAGGTGGCGGTGGTTCTTTTGTTGCTAGGAACAACAATGTACTGTTAGGAACAACAACTGGTTGCTGGAGGTGGTGGTTGTATAGAAAAATTGAACAAACGTTTACATAACTGTGATGCGAGCACTAAAACATCTGGTAAAAATAACAAATGTGTCACATCTTGCAAAAAGTGGGCTGGAGGAGTAAATGGGCAAGGAGCGAAGCAGGCTGATTCAGAAAATTCAGGTTGTAGCAGATTTTGAGTTTACGGTACTTAGGCTCACATTTTTGTCAGTTTGAAATCATTACGAGAAAATCTTTGTTGCTAAGGGATACTAAATTTAATATGTATGAGCTCTAACCATTACACCATGATTTATTATTATCGATAAAAACCTTTCCCATATAAATCATACTAGCCCTGTGATGCATTTCTTGTTTACAATCAAATCAGAAGTAAAACATTATAAAATTTATAAATAATTTTCTTGATGTTTAGTAGGTGTTGGAGAAGGTTGATTTTACAGCAATAGAATAAGTAGTAAACAGTTTGGTGGAAAGTATGGAAATGGAGGAGAAGGAGGTTTTTCTTTTATAAATGGAGGAGCAGGATATAACAATGCCGTTGGTGGATTTGGAGGGGGTGATGGAGCGTATGGGAATGGTGGAATAGCAGGTGGAGGGGGCGGCTATTCAGGTGGAGCATCCGGAGAAAATGTGTCGGGATCTTGTGGTGGTGGAGGAGGATCTTACAATGTGGGAAAAAATCAAGTGAACAAGTCAGCCTTTAATGACAAAGGAGACGGATATGTCATTATCACTCGAAAGGGGTAGATTAAATCATCTTAAAGTTGTAAATTTTTTGGTAAATACACAAAAGTCAACATGAATCATCACGATATTTACCTGTATCTATAAATACGAGTAAAATTTTTGTGTATTGAGAACATTGTTGTCTAACTAAATTTTTTTATGTAATATGATTTCATAGTTGCATCAGGGGTAAGTTCTTTGTCTTCAAAGCCATAGTCTAAATTTGGTTGTGAACCTACTCTTTAAATAAATATTTTAAAAACTAAGCTAGTTATAAAAATCAAGCCTGTTTCGCAGTCTGCATTTTGGATAATGTCAATGAGGAATTTTATGATGTTTTCTGAGTCATTCAGTTTGCGCCGTAGTTTTTGAAAGACATAAATGAGTAAGGGCTTTTAAGAAAACATAGGTACGAGTGCGTACATGTGGATAGCCCTGCCCTTATTTCAGGTTAAATGGTGTGTTTCATACTATACAACTTGATACCTTAAGAAGAGAAATTTAAAATGCTCTCTGTAGCTTTAAATCTACACAATTTGTACCTATCTAAAACATAATTTATTTATACTGGTAATATAAACAAATGTTCAGCTATTTTGAATATTTTGCTATTTCAACATGGTATATGTATAATTGACAAAATGATACAGGTACTGTATTAAGCAGTCCCTTTGTGTTAAGCCGTCACCTGCTATGGCTTCAGAAAAATTCATAATGCTTTTATCGTAAGAGAAACCTTTATATATTGAAAGGTTAAATTAGTTACAGTACGTTTATGCTGTTAGCCTGAGTTTTTGAAGACATAATTGCGTAAGGACTTTTAAGAAAACATTGATACGAGTGCGTACATGTGGGTAGCCCTGCCCTTATTTCAGTTTAAATGGTCTGTTTCATATCTTATAACTTGATACCATGGGAAGTGAACTTCAAAATACACTTTATTGCTCTAAATCTACCCAATTTATACCTATCTAAATATAATTTATTTATACTGGTAATATAAACAAATGTTCAGCTATTTTGAATATTTTGCTATTACAACATGTATGTACAGTTGACAAAATAATACAGGTTCTGTATTAAACAGTTCTTTTGTGTTAAGTCGTCACCTGCTATTGCTTCGAAAATTTTGTAATACTATTATCGTAAGAGAAAACTTTATATTACGAAGGGTTAAGGTAATTACAGTACGTTCATGCAGTTAGCCTGAGTTAGGTCAGTTTTATTAAAAAGTAGTCAGTGCTAGCTGTAGTTAAAAGATAGTTAAAGTTAGCTAGTTAGCATAGCTAACTTTACAAAACACATTAAATATGGCGGCGTTGCTTACGAAAGATATTTATGCGCAAAATGTTATTGATTAACAACGTTTTTTATATGTTTTTTTTTCATCTTCGGTGGCAAAGGCCTTTTAGAATGAGAGCTGTGAAGGCGGTATTCATTTTTCAATGGTGTAAACATCCCAAGTACTTGTTAAGCTCATAATTTTATAGCTAGCAACTTGTTAGGAATTGAATTGTTATGAGCTCTCGCTGTATATATATCTTATATATCTTTCTTGTTTTCTCACAACTATCCGCATCTTTTAAAAATATTCTGCGTATGAGGTGACTGACATTCCAAAATAAAAAATTTTTCTATATAATTTCATACTACCCCGACATGAAGTTACAAGCCAGAAAAATGGCGGATTTAACAATTGCGTAAAGAAAATATGCCAAGCATTACACCCGCTAGTTACCCTTCTATGTATTTCTTTTATATCGCCCGTATTCTAAAAGCCCACACACACTTAATGAATGGGTCTTCAAAATCATTTCATATTTATTCGAAGACCGCAATTTCACTCAACTTATTGCTTGATTTTAAATTTTTAGGAGAAAATCTTGCCATAGATGGACAAATGTCTTTGCTGATTATTGGATAGAGTGTGATTTCTTGTTGCATTTAATCAGTGTGAGTATGAGTGAGCTTTTAGAATACGAACGTATGACTTCTTCAAGAGTTTTTATTGCCGAAATAAAGTATAAATCCCAAAGCATCGATGACATTTCTTATTTATTACAGGAAATATATTACACTTCTTTTCGAAAGAAAAGGAAAAACGGAATATACAAAACAATGAGTTCCTTCGTAAGAAAGAAATCATTTACGTTGAGTTATAAATCCTACGCACTCACCTACCACGAAATAGTTTATTTAAATCAAATATCAAGTTTACACAATCTAATGTATACAGCGATCTATAGAACTTATAGTTTTTCTCTCGTTTAAAATCAACAAATTCATTAAGAGGAAATCGATTTGATAGAATACTATAAATAGTGACAAACACTGCGCTTATTCACAAGGAACTATCGCCAATTATTGGTTAAGATTAATATAAAATAAAATCTAGCCTTAATTGATAAAGATTATAAAAAATAACAATTCAAAAAAAACTTAACCCACGATTTAAAAGCTGAGCGTATGTGTTTGCGTTCAGATTGAGAAAAAGATTGACAAAGGCTATATTTGTATAAAAAACATGCACGATATTTTACCCCCTATATGTTTTAAATGCTTTTTAGCTTTGTGGTTTTCTTAAGCAAGATATTTTAAATTGCACTTTTAATTTAGCATGGGAGAATAATCATAATGTCAGTGTCTATAATTGGATGAATTTGGATTCACTTCATTCGTTGATGTTGGCGTATGCTAAATTTGACGTTTGGGGCAACCTCGCCTTCCTCCAGTTTCCCTATATTTAATTATTTTTTAAGTTTTATCAATGAACTGCTTCAGCACAACAAAAATGCCTAACGTTTTTTCCAGGCGTTACTTATCCTAGAAAATTTAAATATTTCCTTTAAGTCAACAACCTTTTACGTCATCTCCGTAGTCGTCCTAAAAATCCGTTTGAGTTTTTTATACAATTGATTTGTGTATTGAACACCAATTCTTATTCATGTGCAATATGTTTGTCTAACTTCTATTTTTTTAATGGTCTTAGCAGTCTTATACTTTGACAAAGTAGGAAACTTTCAACACAAAAGTACCGACTGTTAATTCAAACATTTTCAGAAAACCGTAAATATTCCATAAATAAATGACAAAACATAGAAAACAACTCTGGCACAATAATAACGTTTGTTTTTACTATATTTTTGCAGCTTTTTCAACATTAAAATTTGTTTCTATTGTATAAAAAACTTCAATGTTTTACGGTTTGTAGCCAAAATTTTTCAAAATGTATATAATTCAGGGCCACTTACCTTGTCAATCGTCATGTTTTTGATTTTGAATGTTCAAAGGCATCGCAGATTGGCAGCATCTAACTCAAAAACTGTACTAGCAGTCTGAATACATGCGTAAACATACATACGTGCATGAAGTTAAACGAAATTGCGCGCGTGACAAGCATTTAACATGGATCAAAGAAAGTAATTAATATTTACGCAAATCGATTGCACATAAAGAAAGGTTTCAAGGCTGCCTAATCCTGTTTGCTAATCTTTTATTGATCTTGCGACACGCAATAGTACATATATATGAGCCCAGAGTCGTGACTAGGAAGTTAATTGGAGAGGTGCATATCCATATATTCCGTTGTGCCCTACTAATTTCTTTTGAAAGGGAATTGAATTTCAAAAGAAATCAGTAGGGTACGACAGAGCTCAGACTCTGAGCTCATCTATGGCAAATACAATTATATTCTTGCATGTTTCAATGAAACTTAAGAAAACCAAAAGTAGTCAGCTTACAGTTAAATTTACAGCAATGATCGACAACGAAGTTACTGATTCCAGTTAACTAAATTGATTTTGTTTTAAAACCAACGAAATTTTATGAACTATTAATAAACATTACTTATCAACCGTGAACTGTACAGTGTGTAAACTGTTTCCGAGGACGTCTTTATGGTTTCTGTAAGTTTTAATTATATCGCTTGAAATAGCACTGATCGTTAATTGTCATTTCCTTGCAATTTTTCTTTTGTTTCTTTTCCTATATCCTTATAATATTTAACAGCTCATAGAAACAAATAAATATTACTAAAAACACACTAAAAAGAACCAAATAATTCCTTGTACCTGGAATAATTTTTGCCGTCAAATAAGCGGTCGGCGCACGTTATCAGGAGGGAAAGTAAATGTTATTGTTCTCAAGCTGGCTTTAACCAATCATAATTAAAGTATGGCAGTTAGCATTCCAGGTATTTTTAATTCAATAGATGGATCACAGTCTAAAACGCGTAACTTTATAGTCAAATGTAAAATACAAACAAACTTCTTGAAAGAAAAGCAAAACGAAAAAAAATGAAACAAAGAGTTTAATTATGCGGACGATACAAATTAAAAAGGATTTATTTTTACTGACAAAAACTAGAAAAGTTAAAGTCAACCCTTACAATACAGCAAGGAAGAGAAAGAAAGCAAGTTTTGTTTCAGGACAAATAATGCTGTACATAATAAACATTTTAATAACCTCGCTTTCACGATGTTTACTTTACTACGCACTTGGTTGGTGCCAAAAGAACTCGGTCCGATATTTCTCCGTAAAGACCTGGAGCTCAGTTATTAAGAACTTGATATATATGAAATAATTTCTCAATTCTGGCTAGCTCGTATATTACAATTCCATTGGATGCTACTTTTTATAACACAAAAGCTTTCACACACGCAGCTAGAACAAGGTAACTACTTTTGGCAGTGCTCATATTTTTTCCAAACACGTCTTGCAATAGGTGAATTGAAAGCTCTTCACCAAAGATAATTTACTTAAACTTGCGCCGGCCATTGCATTTGCTTTGCTTACTTTACTTTAACTTTCACCCCTTTGAAATGTTTTATTTTGATTGTCTCTTACATCACTTCTTTGTCTGATTAACCAAAGAGGAGCAAATTTTTTTTAAAAAAAATTGCACTGTAGTTCCTTTTTTCTGCACCGTGTTTCTTATTTTTCCCACTAGCATTTGCAATAAATTGCACTGCTCTTAATTAATCAATGAGAACTGAGAATTTTTTTCATGTATATTATTAAAGCGCAGATCAATATAAACAACCTAATGTTGCTTCTGAGTTTTACATGAAAATGGCAATTATAAAAAATGGACAAATGACCTTTTAATTTTAGTTTAACAATATTAAGCAACATTTGCACCTTTATGAACAACGTCTTTAGCCAAACGATTTTTCTCGATCTTGCGTAAAGCAGCGGCAAGTTCTTCGTACCACAACTGCTTATTTTCTCTTGATTCGAACCAAAATTTTAGCATTTTATACCCTTGCCAGTCCACGTCACGATCATTTTGTTCAATTCTTTCTATTGTCGGATCTCTGACCTTCAGAAATATTGCCAATTTCTTCCATTTACCGGGAATTTCTTGGGCAATATCTAGCAGAATTTCGTTAATTTCTGCAAAAAAAAACCGCACATTTAAAAGCAAGTTAATAGCATTTTTTACTTTGGAAGAAAATGTTGGACATCCAACATCAACTATATAAATATACATAGCATGAGACTTGTTAATATACATCAAAGGTGTGTCATGTTGATTTCAGTAAAACTATGGATAACAATATAATAGTACTTACAGTAGTAATGTGTCAAAATGCTGGCACCAAATTTATGTGATCTACATTGGAAGTTTTATCAAAGTGCGTCTTGCTATAGTGAAATTGATTTGCAATTTTTTGCATGATTTAAACTGCATACGGTACGTAGCTATATATTATCAGCCCACACTGCTGATTGCCCAACATAAAATTTAAAATAAAGCCCTTTTTTTTAAAGAAATTATTTAGTATTTAAAGAGTTTCATCTTTACACAAGACATCATCAGACAGGTAATTAAAATGATCTAGTGTGCATTAAATTTACATATTGGAAGCGTAGTTTTGAGTGTTAAGGCTGAAACACACTAGGCAGTCGCTTTAGTCGCGCGTCTAAAACTACCCATTTGCGTGGTTACTAAGCTAGTAGCGTAGTCGCGTCAGCTAGTCGCTTTGAAAGTTCAACATGTTGAACTTTTGACTTTGGTCGCTTCAGTCGCTTTACACTGATTGGCCAATAGATACATTTTAACTTTCTAAATGCATATCATATTTCCTGTCATAAGCATCATACGAAATTTATAGATTATACCTTGGAAAACAAAGGCAATATATAGTGTATTCACACTGGAATCTTTCAGTTTTTATCTGACTTATAAATAGGGACAATAGGAGCTACAAACTGGAACCCTAATGCACAACCTAAATGCACAGAATAGGATTATCCACGATGTACGCGTAATGTGCTATGATCATATTCGCAAGTTTTAACTGCCTCGTTCTCTTTTCTCCACATAGTAGTTTGTACTGAGTAAATATTCATATATTAGTAGATATAATAAAGGCCAAAATAAAAAGTTTAAGTGATATCTGCGTCTGTAACAAACTAAAATCACCGCCATGTTCAATAGACGCCTCGGTAAATGTCGCGATGGTCGCTGCATGTGTGTTGCTAGCGTTCAAGCGACTGACGCGTGCGCATCAATTTGCTTTGGACGCGTGACTGAAGCGACTGCCATTGAGTTCTATAATAACTGGAGGGGAAAAGGGGCCTGGACCCCGTGGTCAAAAACATGGCGGTAATGGCGGATTTTGGTTGTCAAAACGTCTACTTTGAGAAAAATTTTTAACATACGCTCCCTCCCGAATCCGGATATCTATTACTGCTTATATCAATGACAGCCAGCGAAAACAACCACGATACCGTAAGCATAAAATATTAAAATCAATGCAACATGTTTTTTTGAAATAGACACACACATTTAAATGAGGTAAATCTACTGTAAAAGAACGTATATTTTGTCAAGTAATGCTTTAGCTATGTTAGAAATAAATATCAAACGGCATTCTTTACACTTTCAATGTGTTGTTAAGATTTAATACATAATCCCATGCACAATTTTTGTGTTTTTGACTGTTCGATAACAGCTTGGTGCAACTGTCTTTCCTCAATAGATGGGTAAATCTTAGTTAAAACGTCCAAAAAGGACGTTTAGAAAAAGTTAGCTTACACTTACGACTTAAGTCGACTGGAAATATACTATAAGTAGGTATGAAATTTTTTCTTAGTTTTTTTTTGGGATTGATTCTGGGTGTCTTATAAGGTATTATGATATTCTGATAAATCTACTAAGAACTTATGAAGAAAATATCTTGAACTAGGAGAGCAAAAGAACGAAATTTAGAAATTCTATAACCATGTTGCTGGTTCTGTTTTGAGCCAAGATATTAGAAACTGGATTGTCATTGACAACCATGGATCTACTACTGAACAGAACTACATTAATTTCCCATTGAAAATATGATTTCTTAAATTAAAGTGCATTGGTTTCTCTGACATAACACTTTTCTTATTGCTGTATGAAGGCAAACCTGTTTAAATAATTATAATGTAGGTGAAGATTTTTAGCATGTTGTATAATTGTTATTGTACAGTCATTATTTATAATACTATGGCCTTGTGTAATGTATGTCAAGAAGAACATATTAATTCTCAAAAATGCTAACCTTCTTGCACTATTTGAATTTTACATTATGCCCTTAGAATTTTTCTTTTTGTCTTTTGGTAAAAATATCAGTGAATGACTTAAAAATCAAGTTTTCTAAAATAGTATTTTGTACAAAGTAACTATACATAATTGGAAAAGTCTCATGTTGAAGACAGATGTCGCTTCTTTTACTAGATTGCTATTCTTATTCTCTTAAATAATATCATAATTCCTCATAAGACATAAAAAGTTCTTTGCCATCAATTTTTGCTTCTCCCACATTCAACTTCATTGCAAACCAATGCATCTTATGTGAATTTTTAATCACCTGGAATTGAAAATTATATGGATTTTGTTAGATGATGTAGTACTATATTTAGTGTTTCATGCATGCCATTATAAGCTTTTCTTGAGCAAATATTTCAAGGTAGGAGCATAATTTGGCAAATTATTGAACAAAGTAATTTTTATCTTGATTTTGATGTACTAACCTGTTTACTATAACAAAAAATTCATTTACAGAAACACCAGATGGCATTTAAAACTTTTAGCATAAAGCAAACCTTTACACGCCATCCTCTTGATTGTCTATGATCTGTCAAATTGTTCAGGCTAGCTGTTTAAGATAGGTATTTTTTATTGTACGACATGTACCAAAGAGTTCATTAATTAATCCTGCACTGCATTTGATTTCAATACGGCTCTGTTCTTAATATTTGCTTCATGTTTTCAGAAAAATATCATGAAAAAATCCTCCATTTCTTGGAGGTAAAGTCAGTTGAAACAAGGAGTTTTAAGACATGCATATCTCGATAAGAATTGGTTGTTTTACCTCGTCTAGCAAGGGATTAAGTAAAGAACAAATAAGACTGGATATACATAACTTAAATTATAACTTAGAAGTAAAAACATTCATAAAATATATACCATCACACTTCAAGTATTGACTTAAAACAAAACACTGAACACTCTAAATGGTAAACAATCTTACGTTGCTCACCGGTATCATGAAATGTTTCCTTTTCTGGCATTACTTCAGCATCCGTGCACCAAACAAGTTTGCAGCATGTTTTAAAAATAAAATTTCTAAAAGTTTTTGTGCTTCGCATTGAAATTTTATACAATCGCAATTGTGGATGTCAAATCCGGGTGGGCGAAAAAAATTTCATTTTATGAGCCCGCGTCTTTCTGCTGACTTTGACAACCAAAATCCGCCATGTTTTTGACCACGCAGCCGCGCGCTAATAATTTATACTAGTTTTGTTGACGCTTCCCACTGCGACTGCCCAGTGTGTTTCAGCCTTTGGATTACAGTGAGGTGTGATGAATATGATATATATGTATATAAAAATATTATATAAAAAAGTATAAGTGAAGATATTGTTATAGAGTGTAAAATGGACGGGGAACTTAATGGGATATTTAAAAAAGTTCGAGTGGGATAACTGCCTTGGACATTAAGTTTAGGTGTTAGATTTGAGAACAGTAGGCTTTTATGAATCATTAAGTCAGGAGTTTAAGGTGAGGATGAGATGATAGTAAAGTCGTAAAGGAAGCTGTGTGACCTGATATGTTGATGTGAGATAGGATGCTAAATTTTTTTAGGGCATGATGACAGTTTTCCTGCCAGGTGTGAAATTTCCAGGTGCTCTGAGATTCTGGTTTAAAGATGACGTTTGGTTTGACCAACATACGGCGCGTTGTAGAGTCGACACTTAAGCAGATAAACAAAACCAGAATTCAAGAACTTGGGAATCTTATCCTTAAAAGGAAAGAAGGAGGAAATCTGTAAAGGATGGAAAACAAATCTACTGCTAACGTCAGGGAAGGCAGCGTTTGCAGAGGCGGTTAAGTTGGGTGCGTATTTGGAAAAAGTGTGAGCCTGTGTAGGGAAGGCAAAAAATAGACGAGCTTCTTGGGCACTGTAATAATAAGTGGTTTTGGGAGAAAAATCGTTGTCAAGGAAGAGGTGAACTGTGTTGTCAAAAAATTGAGAGGGGAAACTATTTGAATCAAACAGTTTTCGAACCATCTATAGTCGATTGTGGAAGTTTTCTAGCTTGAGAAGATACTTAAAGTACGGTTAATAATGGTAGAGATAAAGCAGCGCTTATAAATAAGGGGGATAAAGCTATGAAAATGCGTGAAGAATACAGTAGATGTGGGTTTCCGGTAAACGGATGTTACGAATTTTCCTTCAGAACGTGTGATATCAATGTCTAGAAACGGGAGATTGTTATTTTGTTCGGTTTCAAGAGTGAAAATTATGTTCTAATCATGTTACAGAATTGATGAAGAACCAAGCTTGCATGAACAACCTATGTTCATGGTATTTTATATCTTATTGGTTGAGTTATTTGAAAAATTTTATCTGAAAATCCAAAAGTACACATTAAAAACATTGGTTCGATGGCCATTGTAGAGCAAAATTGTGGTAAATGTGTTGAAAAGAATTTTATATGGAGAAGCCAAACTATGGTTTTGGGAAGATATCCAACTGGAAACGTTATGACTAGTTTTGGTATAGTGATGTCTGTTCTCAATATAAGTCAGGCCATGCTGATGTTCCAGCACATGAATCTCTCAGCAAATAGTGTGTCCACTTATCATGTGCATCAACGCACCTTCTTGTTTCCAGCTATTCTGAAGCATTGGGAAAGCTATCAGTCAAAGTTAATTTAAGATGTGAAAAAAAGTGATGCGGATTCCAGGCATGGTCAGGAGATGGACGCTTTGATTCTATGGGCCACAGTGCAAAATATGGAGTCTACACAAATTGGAACAACACAACATCAAAGCTGGTTCGTTTTGAATTGCTTGAGGTATTATCGAATGATAAAATCATTGTTTGTAGTGTTTTTACTTTCAATGATGGAAGCATTTTGACTTTTAAACAGGCCAATGAAGTTGGTAGCAGTAATGCCATGGAACTGGAGGGAGCAAAAAGATCTTTTCAGTTTCTTGAGAAATCTGGGCTTACCATGAATGTTTTCATCAGTGACAGGCACAAAGGGATTGCAAAGTGAATCCGAAACGAAAAAAAAGAAACAAAGCACTTTAATGATATCTGGCATGTAAATAAAAGTATTGCTTAACAACTTAAGATGGCCGGCAAAGGGAAAGGATTGTGAAATAATCAATGAATGGTTGGGTGGTATTCGCCGACATTTGTATTGGAGTGCTCAAACTACTATACTTGGCTTTGAAGAGCTTCTCGTTGTGAAATGGAAATCTACGGTGAGATACAGGGCTAACAAGCATGATAACCGTCCCGATGCATTATTCCCATTGTGTGCTCATGGTCAGATCCCAGAGCGGAAATGGAAACCAATAGGCAAATTTAAATACTCAGCTAATGTGGAAATTGAATAGTACAAGGTTTTATGTCATACTATAGTCACAACTTTATACATGAAACAAATTTTCATAACCTTTTAGGAACTGTTGCATATGATAAGATATGCTCTATCCTACTCAAGCCAAGCATTTTAAAAGACATCGGCAAACTTTCAGCAGATGGCCAGACTAGTTGTCTTGAAGGCTTTCATTCCGCCCTGAACCATTGGCATCCAAAAATGACTAATTTTTCATGGCTTTGATCATTTTTAAGTCAGCATTTTAATGCCTTGAAATATATTTTCTCATCTTCATCACCATCTCCTGCGAGAGGTTCATTGTCATATGCGAAGTCGTTTAAATGCTCGATATAACCCACGGATTCCGAGCTCGAATCAGATACGCATTCAAACATTATCTGAGCACTGATTTGAGGCCATACTTTCCGGGAAACTTGTTTTTTAATATTTTATTGAAAATACTGTCATTATTTGTTTTTAAGACAAGAAAAACGACAACAAAATCACCTCCTATAATATAATATTATATTGACGGAAACAGACGTGTATCTACATCACAAGTATCAATATGGCGTCGTACAAAATTTGCAAATAGTACCCGACTTTGGAGGCAAAATTAAGGAACTTATATTTATCTGTTTAAGTCCAGCGACATTTCATAGTTCATCAAATAATCCAAATTTTCAAGTAAGCTCATAAAAATTGGGGCTAAAATTAGTAGTATAAGCACTTTTAGTGTCGACGCTGCAACGCGTCGTATGTTGGTCAAACCACACGCTATCTTCAAACCAGAATTTAAGAGCACCTATGTTCGCCCTTAACAGGAAAACAGTCATCATGCCCTATCAAATCCGGCATCCCATCTCACATCAACATATCAGGTCACACTGCTTCCTTGGACAACTTCACTATCATCTCATCCTCTCCTTACACTCCTGACTTAATAATCCATGAAAGCCTCCTGTTCTCAAATCTAACACCTAAACTGAATGTCCAAGGCAGTTTCATCCCACTCGAACTTTTCTAAATACCCCACTACGTTTTGCGTCCATTTCACACTCCATATCAGTATCTTCACTCATAATTTATATAATATTTTTATATACATATATATCATTTTCTTTACACCTCACTGTAATCTAACACTTATAACTACACTTGTAATATGTAAATAGAAAGGCACACTTGATCATTTTAATTTCCTGTGTGATGATGTCGTGTGTAAAGACGATACGTTACAAATAATAAGTAAGTTCTTAAAAAAATGGCTTTATTTCGAATTTTATGTTGAACAATTGTCTTCTTAACACGAATCAACACTGATGATGTAAACAATAATTCATTTTTTCATAAAGAATGCGTCATTATGGACTTTGCAGCGATATAAGTTCCCTAGGTTTTTCAAGAATAGGCTATTACTCGGGTCAGTCCTCTGTAGAGTCTCTTTATTCCTCGTATTGTCAATTTCACACCAAAATAACCATATTCTAATCATACTACATTTAGCTATACATGCCCTGCAGTGTTAAGCATACCAATGAGCATAAAGTCTATTTACTAAAATTGCTGGTGTGTAAATGTAATGCACATAACGATGTTGTGTTTTATAAAATTATTAGAATGATAAAAGAAAACAAGAATGCCGAGTGTAAGCATGAAAGCACGAATGTTACAGGGAAACTTATACTCTTCACATATTTACTACACTTGACTTGGTGTGCTATAATGCTAAAGTCGTTTAAGCAATAAAATGTTTTCAAAATAAGTTATAAAACCAATGCCAAAGATTTGTTATTTCATTTTTCCATTTTTTTTAACCATTTGACTAAGCAGATTTTAACGTGCAACAAACTGTATTTAGATTTAATCTAATTAAAAACGGATCATGCATGACAATCTCCCTAACTTATGATAAATACATTACTCTTGCAAAGCATTGAAAAAATCTAATAGCATTAAATAAGGTCAGCAACGGGAGGTTGCAGTAATATCAGGAAAATTACACCAAGCCTCCCATGGGTCATGTATTGTCTATTCTACTGTAGAGTGATTGTCACTTTTATTCTTAATTAACACTGCATAGTCATGATTATAAAACACAGTTAAATTGTGGCTACAGAACGTTAAGAAAAGCTTTTACCTGATTCTACATAGAATCCCAAATGCAGTAACTACTACAATGTCTCACTAACTAGACTGAATGCGGTATATGAAAATTAAAGAAACATAGCCCATGAAATTTAAGACTGCTAGTAAGTCTATTATCAGGGCAATGATAGAACATTAAATCTCAACGACAGCAAAGGACGTCATCTTCGAATCTTGGAAAGGAGGCACCAAATAACCATATTATATACATTTCGCTAAATGGGGAAAATCTTTGTAGAAAGACAAATTAACGTTTTCAATGCGACGATAGAACAGGCCTTCAACCTCCTTGCCCATCTATTTAAAGGTCTCGGCTACAGTGTAATTAGTACGGCCAAATCATCATTAACTGTAATAATTGCAACATTTGAGATATTTCAAAGAAAACAGACTGATTTGAGAATCAGCAAAAGAGATATTTGCAATAAAACCAGCTTTTCCAAAACGTAAAGTAATATAGGATGCTAGAAAAGTATTGATATGCCAGAATTTAATAACGCTGACGCCAGAACTCGAACTTAAACAACACAAACATAAACTAGTTATGCTGCTGTCAGCCTGTCACTTACATGGTGACAAATGAGTCATAACAATCATAAGCTTGATTTTTAACTGTTGCAAAAACCAGGAAATACATATTCATTACTATAGAAACAAGCTAAAACTCACTAGGTCTGTATGCGTATTTCAAACAAAAACTTTCTGTTGATCTTCACTAATTTTTATCGAAGAAAATATTAAATTTTGTGATACCATGCCTATTAAAATACGTTTATTATAAAAATCAATGCAAACTTCTAAATATTATGTTTCTATCTATAGCTAGTAAAAAAGCTGATGAAAAGTTTGAGTTTAAAATTTAAGCAAGACTTACATTAAGTCCTGTTGCATAAAATACTGTTGAATGTGTATGCTTTTTATCTTATTGCTTCTAAGCCATAGGCCGAATCGCAAAAAGTAGTCTTGAAGTAACATCGGCATGCCTCCATTTAGGAACCAGCTGAATTTCGCAGCATAGGTAGTTTATATTTAACAAATAGATAACATTCAACCGTTGTAAATACAGTTATACATACACAGGTACACACGTCATTTGTGATAAAAACTAAAAAGTTGGAACAGGCCACCGGGTCGAGTATTATTTCACTATTAATAGACTATTGTTTTAGCTAACAAACGTAAAATGGCATTTTTTCTTTACTTGATCTAACCAAAAATCATCAATACCATGTTCCAAGTTTGTTTTTTAAATATTAAAGAGTTCATCTACTAAAGCTCTAAGTTTTGTATATTTACCTTCTAATATAATAAGCATACCTTCTATTTCCTCCGTATGAACGTGTAAATTTGAAGGGTAACTAGCATCAGCAGTATCATCAGACTTTATTTCTTTGAAAAATATATAAATAAAAGCAAGTGAACCATAGCGTAAAATAGAAGGGTGCTTTTTATAATAAATAAGTTTCCTTGGAAAGACATATATTGATTCATTCCAATAACAAAGACATGTATCATGTTTTTTAATGTAATAAAGAAATTTTTTAAAATTCAAGTATTGTGAATCGGGTATTTTCCCTAAAATTTTTTTGGAACTTTATTTATGTCATAGCAAATTTTTACTTAATTTTTTTTAATTTCTCTAATTTTTTTAGAAACAAAAGTTAAAAGCAATTAGTAAAAATTTTTTTAACTCGTCATACATAGAACAAAAAAATTATATGTGTAATAACAATATTTGCCCCAGACTTGTAGCTATGATAAAAAGCAAGAAAAATTTTAATTAAAAGATACTTAAAAAAAGTAAAATAGTTGAACCAAGGCAGGGCCAAACAAATTCTTTTAGGCATATCAGTTTAGAAAGATTTATGAGGAAAAGGTTCTCAGTAGTTTTTAACCTTAAATTGCAAACCACATAATAAAGCACAAGACGGAAAGAAAACAAGGAAAAATTTACCAAAAACAAATTTTAGTTGCATGTATCGTTGTTTCTTAGTAGTTTAATTTAGTTTAATTTTATTAAAATGTTAAAACAGATTTAAAATATTTTTGCATCTAAATATATATTGCAGTGTATTACATTGTTCTCAATTTGCATCAAACTTTAAGAAACAAATCTTTTTTATCGATTTTCAGATAGCTCTATAAAATGGACTATATATTAGAGAACTATAGAGGACTATAAATGCTCAGGATGGTAAAACGGCCTATAATAGGATAATTACTCCAAATAAATCCTACTTTCACTAAAAAGAGCTTTAACTAATTTTACAATATTACTAAAAGTGTTTTTTTCTGCTCAGATTTAGCCAAACATAACACAAGAAGAATTCACGATTTGTAAACACAAAAGACTTAAAAAGTTTTGCCAGAAATTTCAAAAACCTCAAAGGTTACACTTATAAAAAGTTTATATATGCTATAATAAACAAAAATAAAGAGTATCATACCTATACTCTTCGAAGATTTAGGAACAACAACATGATCAGAAGAAAGTGCTTTTTTTTTTAACTCTCGCGCTTTTTTATAAAATTTTCCTGCTTTGTTATATTCTTTAGTACGAACGTATGTATCACCAAGATATTTTAAAGTCAAAGCTACATCAACATGTACTGGACCAAGTGATTTTTGTTGAATTGCCAACGCTTTGTTGTGAAATCCTTCTGCTTTGTCATATTCCTTAGTACAAAGATTTATATAACCAAGATAGTTTAAAGTCGCAGCTACATCAACATGTTCCGGACCAAGTGATTTTTGTAGAATTTCTAACTCTTTTTCATGAAATTCTTTTGCTGTGTCATATTTTTTAGTGTTATAATACATCTCACCAAGCCTGCTTAAAGTCGCAGCTACATCAACATGTTCAGGACCAAGTGATTTTTGTTGAATTTCCAATGCTTTTTCATGAAATTCTTTTGCTGTGTCATATTTTTTAGTGCGAACATTTAAAAAACCAAGACAGTTTAAAGTCGTAGCTACATCAACATGTTCAGGACCAAGTGATTTTTGTTGAATTTCCAATGCTTTTTTGAGAAATTCATTCGCTGTGTCATACTTTTTAGTGAAGCAATACATCTCAGCAAGACCGATTAAACTCAAAGCTATATCAACATGTTCTGGACCAAGTAATTTTTGTTGAATTTCCAACGCTTTGTTGTGAAATCCTTTTGCTGTGTCATATTTTTTAGTGCGAATATTTAAATAAGCAAGATAGTTTAAAGTCGTAGCTACATCAACATGTTCAGGACCAAGTGATTTTTGTTGAATTTCCAACGCTTTTTTGTGAAACTCTTTTGCTGTGTCGTATTTTTTAGTGTTATAATACATCTCACCAAGCCTGTTTAATGTCCCAGCTACATCAACATGTTCAGGACCAAGTGATTTTTGTTGAATTTCCAACGCTTTTTCATACATTTCTTTGGCTTTGTCATATTTTTTAGTACAAATATTTAAATAACCATGATTGTTTAAAGTTATAGCTACATTAACATGTTCAGGACCAAATAATTTTTGTACAATTTCCAACGCTTTTTCATACATTTCTTTGGCTTTGTCATATTTTTTAGTACGACAATACACCCTACCAAGTTTGTTTAAAGTCGTAGCTACATCAACATGTTCAAGACCAAGTAATTTTTGTTGAGTTTCCAATGCTTTTTCGTAAAACCCTTTCGCTGTGTCATATTCTTTAGTGTAATAATACATCTCACCAAGATGTTTCAAAGTCGTAGCTACTTCAACATGTTCAGGACCTAGTGATTGCTGTCGAATTTTTAGTGCTTTTTCGAATAATTCTTTTGCTGTGTCATATTCTTTAGTACGAAGATTTATATAACCAAGATTGTTTAAAGTCGTAGCTACATCAACATGTTCAGGACCAAGTGATTTTTGTTGAATTTCCAACACTTTTTCGTGAAATTCTTTTGCTGTATCATATTTTTTAGTACGACAATACACCCTACCAAGATTGTTTAAAGTCGTAGCTACATCAACATGTTCAGGACCAAGTGATTTTTGTTGAATTTCCAACGCTTTTTTGTGAAATTCTTCTGCTTTGTCATATTCCTTAGTAAAAACATTTAAATCACCAAGATAGTTTAAAGTCGTAGCTACATCAACATGTTCATGACCAAGTGATTTTTGTTGAATTTCCAACGCTTTTTTGTGAAATTCTTTTGCCGTGTCATATTTTTTAGTGCAGCAATACATCTTACCAAGACAGTTTAAAGTTAAAGCTACATCAACATGTTCTGGACCAAGTGATTTTTGTTGAATTTCCAACGCTTTTTCGTGAAATTCTTTTGCTGTGTCATATTCTTTAGTGTTATAATACATCTCACCAAGTTTGTTTGATGTCTTAGCTACATCAACATGTTCAGGACCAAGTGATTTTTGTTGAATTTCCAAGGCTTTATTGTGAAATTCTTCTGCTTTGTCATATTCCTTAGTACAAAGATTTACATCACCAAGGAAGTTTAATGTTATAGCTACATCGACATGTTCAGGACCAAGTGATTTTTGTTGAATTTCCAACGCTTTTTCATAACACTCTTTGGCTTTGTCATATTGGTTGGTCTCATAATACACCCCACCAAGATTGCTTAAAGTCGTAGCTACATCAACATATTCAGGACCTAGTGATTTTAGTTGAATTTTCAACGCTTTATTGTGAAATATTTCTGATTTGTCATATTCCTTAGTACAAAGACTTAAATAACCAAGATTGTTTAAAGTCCTAGCTACAACAACATGTTCAGGGCCATATGATTTTTGTTGAATTTCCAACGCTTTCTCATAACACTCTTTGGCTTTGTCATATTTGTTCGTCTCATAATACACCACACCAAGATTGTTTAAAGTCGTAGCTACATCAACATGTTCAGGACCAAGTGATTTTTGTTGAATTTCCAACACTTTTTCGTGAAATTCTTTTGCTGTATCATATTTTTTAGTACGACAATACACCCTACCAAGATTGTTTAAAGTCGTAGCTACATCAACATGTTCAAGACCAAGTAATTTTTGTTGAGTTTCCAATGCTTTTTCGTAAAACCCTTTCGCTGTGTCATATTCTTTAGTGTAATAATACATCTCACCAAGATGGTTCAAAGTCGTAGCTACTTCAACATGTTCAGGACCTAGTGATTGCTGTCGAATTTTTAGTGCTTTTTCAAATAATTCTTTTGCTTTGTCATATTCTTTAGTACAAAGATTTAAATAACCAAGACAGTTTAAAGTCGTAGCTACATCAACATCTTCAGGACCAAGTGATTTTTGTTGAATTTTCCACGCTTTTTCATAACACTCTTTGGCTTTGTCATATTTGTTGGTCTCATAATACACCCCACCAAGATTGTTTAAAGTCGTAGCCACATCAACATGTTCTGGACCAAATGACTTTTGTTGAATTTCCAACCTTTTTTTATAACACTCTTTGGCTTTGTCATATTTGTTGGTCTCATAATACACCTTACCAAGATTGTTTAAAGTCGTAGCTACATCAACATGTTCAGGACCTAGTGATATTTGTTGAATTTCCAACGCTTTCTCATAACACTCTTTGGCTTTGTCATATTTTTTAGTACAAATATTTAAATAACCATGATTGTTTAAAGTTATAGCTACATTAACATGTTCAGGACCAAGTAATTTTTGTAGAATTTCCAATGCTTTTTCATACATTTCTTTGGCTTTGTCATATTTTTTAGTACGACAATACACCCTACCAAGATTGTTTAAAGTCGTAGCTACATCAACATGTTCAGGACCAAGTGATTTTTGTTGAGTTTCCAATGCTTTTTCGTAAAATTCCTTGGCTTTTTCATATTCTTTAGTGTAATAATACATCTCACCAAGATAGTTGAAAGTCGTAGCTACTTCAACATGTTCAGGACCTAGTAATTTTTGTCGAATTTCCAGCGCTTTTTCAAATAATTCTTTTGCTTTGTCATATTCCTTAGTACAAAGATTTAAAGAACCAATATGGTTTAAAGTCGTAGCTACATCAACATGTTCAGGACCAAGTGATTTTTGTTGAATTTCTAACGCTTTTTCATAACACTTTTCGGCTTTGTCATATATGTTGGTCTCATAATACACCCTACCAAGTTTGTTAGATGTCTTAGCTACATCAACATGTTCAGGACCAAGTGATTTTTGTTGAATTTCCAAGGCTTTATTGTGAAATTCTTCTGCTTTGTCATATTCCTTAGTACAAAGATTTAAATAACCAAGATAGTTTAAAGTCGTAGCTACATCAACATGTTCAGGACCAAGTGATTTTTGTCGTATTTCCAGCGCTTTTTCATAACACTCTTTTGCTTTGTCATATTTGTTGGTCTCATAATACGCCCCACCAAGATCGTTTAAAGTCATAGCTACATCAACATGTTCAGGACCAAGTGATTTTTGTTTAATTTCTAACACTTTTTCATAACACTCTTTGGCATTGTCATATTTGTTGGTCTCATAATACACCCTACCAAGATTGTTTAAAGTCATAGCTACTTCAACATGTTTAGGACCTAGTAGTTTTTTTTGAATTTCTAACGTTTTTTCATAACACTCTTTGGCTTTGTCATATTTGTTGGTCTCATAATACGCCCCACCAAGATCGTTTAAAGTCATAGCTACATCAACATGTTCAGGACCAAGTGATTTTTGTTGAATTTCTAGCACTTTTTCATAACACTCTTTGGCTTTGTCATATTTTTTGGTCTCATAATACAACCTACTAAGTTTGTTTAAAGTCGTAGCCACTTCAACATGTTCAGGACCAAGTGATTTTTGTTGACTTTCCAACGCTTTTTCATAACACTCTTTGGCTTTTGCATATTTGTTGGTCTCATAATACACCCTACCAAGATTGTTTAAAGTCGTAGCTACTTCAACATGTTCACGACCTAGTGATTTTTTTCGAATTTCTAACGCTTTTTTATAACAGTCTTTGGCTTTGTCATATTTGATGGTCTCATAATATACTCTACCAAGTTTGTTTAAAGTCGTAGCTACATCAACATGTTCAGGACCAAGTGATTTTTGTTGAATTTCCAACGCTTTTTTAAAACACTCTTTGGCTTTGGCATATTCGCCGCTCTCAAAATACACATTACCAAGATTGTTTAAAGTCGTGGCCACATCAACATGTTCAGGACTTAGTAAAGTTTTTTGAATTTCCAGACATATCTCAAAAGAGTTCTTAGCTTTTTCGTATTCTCCAATTTTGTAATACTCCATACCGTGTTTGTTTGATATCTTAGCATCATTATGCTTTTGTGAATTTTTTTTGAATTTAAAATAATTGAATTTGAAATTCATTATCTTTCTGACATTTCCACCGCTAGAAAAAAAATCAAAGTTCATGTACTTTTCATTATAAGAAATACACAATTTGTAGGTTTACTTCGTTTTTGTTCATGTTATTTTAATTTTTAGTGTTTACCGTCTATTGCCTGCCTTTACAATTCTGAAACATTTATAAAGCCAAATAACAATTAACCCTCTGGTCTGATAATAGATTGGTTATATAGCTTCTGTTTTTATCACAAAATAAAGCCCATTATTATGTGCGACGATGCGACAAAGTAGATTAAAGTAAATGGTTTGAACCCGGGAGTATCGTTACATGTTTGTAAATGTAGATCGTCCAGGTTGGCATTGTCCTGAGAAGGACTGGTTTTCTTGTTGTTGACAAACGTTTCGACAACGGTAGCGGTAGCCAACCGCTAAGGTTGTACTGGTAGAGATGAAAATAATCTGGTATAATGTTTATTCCCACACTGTTATTTTAAAGCAGTTAGCTGAGCTATTCTATGTGTTAATTATACACTTTTTAGTAATGTTTAGTGTGATGTTCTAGCGTCAATAGTGAGCTTTAGTAAGTGTGTACTAATATAGAGTGCGACTTAATTCAAGTACGAGTTCGAAGTTTGACCGTGTACTGGAGTGGCACGAGTAAGTCTGTTGACGTTGTTGCTTCGTCAAAACTTTATTTTAGTTATAAAAAAAGACCGAGATTTTTTACTTGGAAAATCACCGAGTTTGTGAAGCATATAGCTCTAGCTACGGCTTTATTTGTTAATAATAATACCAACGAATCGGTAAAAATGATTTTATAAGAATATAGGACTCTTTATAGACAGAAAAATCTTTACTAATTTACATTTTATGTTTTATATGTTTGTAGCATTTTACTGTTTGTTTTCATTACCATTACCATTTAACATGCATGGAAGTATAAAAGATATGCAAAGTTTTTTCGTAGATGAATGACATTTTGAAGCTACTCTATCAAGGCATTTCTGAGTTGCAAAAAATATCCACAAAGTAAAACTTTTATCTTGCTAAATAAATATTTACACTAGCTTCGTGGACAAAGTTCGACTTTACTGATTTAAACGTTGACAAATATTGATTGTGCTCGATATTGTTTATGGTCAACAAGGGGGTAAAGAAATTTATAAAACTATTTTGATTGTCAATTCTATTGTTGAATTGGTTCAGTGAGCCAGTGTATGAATTTGCTTTGCAAATAAAGAAATGATTAATTTATTAACGAAGTGGTAAAAGTTGAACAGGTTTAAAAAACGAGTTTGGTGAATGGGTATAAACCATTGACAATGTAACAGTGGAACAAAAGTACTTTTAAACTTGGTAAACACATATTGCTATGAGCATTTTCGATTCACTGAAATGAAAAATGATTCAGCCTTGGAAAAGTAAAAATTCAAGCTCACGCAATTTCTTCAAGCAACGAAAATCAAATATGGAAGCAAAGCACAATTAAAATTCACGAGAAATCTTTAGTTTAAGCGTCTCCAATAAATTTATTGATGATGGATATTTAGAACCAAATATCATTTTCCTTGATATTGAGGGAAATACGTCCATAAACGTTCCTGTGATCACAAAAGATCCCGACGCAACTCTGTTATTACGTATTTAAATATTAACTGGTGCTGAAATAATGTGTGGCGAACATCTGTTATAATTGTTGGAAATAATTTATATTATTTGATTGTCCTACTGACAGAGAGACAAATTCTACTTAACTATTATAATATTTGTTATCCAATAGACTTAGCAAAATTTTGAGTGATGCTTTGTTGTGAATGGGTTGAAGTATAGTCTGAGTGAATGAGCAATATATGTATGAGATAAACATTGCAAGAGAGTAAATTTCGTCATTCATCAGGCTTGAGTTTTTGCATCCATTCGACATAGTCAAAAGGAATATTGCCTGGAAGACGAGAAGATTCGCAAAACGTGGCACCTCCGACGGGATCAGTGAAATAGTTCGCTCAAGAACAAGAATTCGTATTGAAGCATACCGAAGCAGGAAGCTGCAGAGCTAGCACTTGAAGCAAAACTCAAGCAGATTTTGATCACTTGCGGGAAAACTGAGAGAATTCTTGCGTCAGATAATCGCGATAGAATCGAAAGACATCGTGATGCTTTAAATGAATTAGTAAAAGAAGCAGATACCGCCAAAAGTACAGTCGAAGGGTTGAAAATAGCAAGTGGCGAAAAATTCAAAAGCATTTCCTAGTGGGAGGAATCGATAGAAAATACCATAAGTCAAGCTGACAATGCAATGGAAAGATTACGCAAATGGCTTATGGAGGTGGATGAAAGTAAGAAAAGCGCATTTAAGAAAGGAACAATTAAATATCGAGAAAATAGTTGTGTGAAACCAAGCTGCACTACAAAATGCAATTGGAAGAGTACAAGAGGGACAAACCGGAAGAGACAGGAACAATGAGTTCTACCATTAGTTGGAATCTGGAAGCTAAACTATTAAAGCTAGTGATTTCAAAATTTAATGGAAGGTACAAAGATTGGATACGATTCTGAAACCAGTTTAGCGAGACCATTGACAAATCAACTATTTCCAAGTAACCAAATATTCATACTTGAGAGAGTTGCTTGAAAAACATGTCAAGTATTCCATAGAAGCACTACATTTCACTAGTGAAGGGTATAACCGAGCAAAATGTATACTTCAGTGTAAGTATGGAAAGTAGTCAGAAGTGATTAAAGCCTACACCGAAGAAATTCTTGACTTACCCAATATACCAGAGGCCATTGTACAGAAGGTGCATAAATTCTGCGAAAGACTCACCTATTGCGTACAGTCTTTAGAAACTATGGGAAAACTGGAGCAGATCAATGGAAGTGTTGCAATGACATTAGACAAATTGTCTGGCATAAGAATCGACTTGCTTCGTACAGATCCCAACTGGGATGAATTGGATTATATTTAGCTAATAGAAACCTTAGTCTTTTGGACTAGGCGAAATCCTATATGTGAAGGAGAAAAGAAAGAAAATCGAAACAGGCTCCACGAAAAAGTATTTAACACCAGCTTGGGTCAGCCTAAATGTTTCTATTGCGATGAAAAGGATCACAAATCAACGGATGGCTCAAAGGTAACAGATTCCAAAGAAAGAAAACAACTATTGGTAAAAAAGCACTGCTGTTTCAACTGCACCAGAGAAGGGCATAGAGCTGCAGATTGTACCTGTAAAATAAAATGTCAACATTGCGAGGGAAGACATCATACTTCTTTGTGTGACCAAGCAGTGGAGAAGAAGACCCTAATGACCGCAACAAAAGCCAATGAAGGAGTCTTTCCAGTCTTGACAGTTAAAGTTAATGAGATCAAGTGTAGCGCATTAATTGATTCTTGAGCCAGCAGCTCATATGCATCTGCAAAATTGGTAAGTGTCCTTGGCATAAAATATGCTGACATAACAACCAAACAAGTTGACATGCTCCTGAGTAGTAGTGTAGAATGTCTTGAGACCTGTGCAACTAAAGTGGAGTCGCTCGATGGAGAGTTTAGTATGGAAGTAGATTTAATAAAAGGGGAAAAAAGTGAACTTTTATCAGTAAAAAACCCCAATACAGCCATATGATTTCCAAATAGTCACACCTACGAGGGGTTTATATCCAAGATGGTGACACGAAGGCTCAGGTTCCAGTACATGTCGTTCTTGGGGGAGAACTTCCAATTTGCATAAATGGAACTCAAATGCCAATGAGCTTCAAGCGGATGAAGAAGAAAAGGATGATGAAGAAGAAACTTTGGCAAAACAACAATTTGGAACAAAAACTGGGGAATCTGAAGTTTTGGGACTGTTGTGGAAAAAGAAAAGTGACTAGATTTCCATAGTGATCCCATCAGAAAAATCGGCAAAAACGAAACGAGAAGTACTGAGTAGATTGGCTCAGGTTTATGACCCTTTGGGAATTACATCACCCTTAATTCTAGAGGGAAAGATAATTTATTGTTATGTCTGTAAGGAGAAGCTTATATGGGATGTACAGCTAAGCCTTTCTTTGAAGTATCGATGGGATTGCTGGGAGTGCAATCTTCCGCGTGAAGTAAGTGTTTCGCGTTCATTAGCTTGGTTCCGAGAACCAATCAAGTCGTTGGAGCTGCATGCATTCGGAGAGGCTAGCACACAAGGTGTACGAGATGCAGTGTACTCAGTTATTCTTCAAGAATCGGGAACTACTCAAATTCTAGTTGCTGGTAAAAGTCGTCTGGCAAAAGAGGGCCAAACTGTTCCACGGCTAGATCTTGTGTCAGCCCACATGGCAGGGAACCTTCTTGTGAATGTGCAAACGTTTTGGATCATTTATCACGGCCGCGAAGTTTTGCATGGCTAAACAGCCCTGTCGCCTTGCATCGGATCTTTGGACGTGGCGAGTATAAGCAGTTTGTCTCAAACCGTGTCCGTAAGATACACCAACATCATGAAATAAAATAGCAATATGTGCCAACATACGAAAATCCTGCAGATTTGGCCAGCGTAGGTGGAAAATTAAATCATACGTGGCTCTACGGTCCAGAATGGTTATCCGATATGAGCAGATGGCCACGTAATATAACCACAACTCCATTTACTTTAACAGAAGCAGAAGCGACAGTCTCCAGAAAAATGTATCGCAATGAAAACAAAACAGTAAAATGGTGATGTTCTGGAACAGTTATTAAGAAAATGCTCACTTAAACGAGCACTAAGAGTGTCGTCATGGCTCTTCCAGTTCGTAAACCATTGTACACAAGTGGAAAAGAAAACAGGACCATTATACTCGACCGAGATTGAAGAGACTAAGATGAAATTCGTCAAACAAGCCCAAAAGCAATGTCAATTACAACCTAAGTACGAGCAACAATGCCAATAACCTAATCTTACGCACAATACAGAAGGGATTCTAGGATGTCGTGGCCTAATTGTAGGTCAGTATCCTATCTAAC